AGTACATCTCTTTCACAAGTGGGTGCAAGTTTCTAGGTTCACAGTTGAATTAATATAGGTATATACTATTGAACTCAGCATAAGCCCTGTAAGACATAAAATTGGATGAGTTTTTAACCTTTAAAAAGCTCTCCATTTCATTTTAGAATATATTGTTCCTTGCAGAAAGACTCACTGTTTTTGCTACTAACACTGGAATGTTGGTGCATGCATCTCTAACTTGTATGTATCTGATTATTACTAGTCATAATCGGTTGCACTTGGATCCTTAGTGCCTATGGATATCTATAAAGTCATCAGGCACATTTCAATGCTATTTTGTATCACCTCTAGATTTCAATGGTAATGTTTATCACCTCTACTAATTAGCATGATGTAAATTTCCATGCTTCCTCCTCAAATATAATACATTTTTTAAATTTTTGTTGATTTGTGTGTGTGTGTGTGTGTATCACACAGAACATCCCAAACCACCTCATTTGATCGTACACCCACTTCCCAGATAGCATCCGCCCATAGCCTCCCTCCCCCAACTAGAGCCCTTATACTCTGATATCCCTGCTACTGTCTGCTGTAGCACTTTCTGGTTAGGAACAAAATCATCAATGAGAAATAATTGTCTAAATAACTTTTTATATAGCCTTAAGCCTAATGTCTGGGAACTGTAATCCCTTGAACTCTTAAAGAAATATACTGATGACTTTACTCTTTGGTTGTACTCTTTTGGGTGTTTAAGACCATGCAGTTTTTCAAAATACATCAATTTATTTTTACACTTAAGGTCATTTGAGGATCTGTTCCTCAGGGGACAAATGGGCTTGGGAGAAGCTCCTGGCTCCTACTTTTACCAGTTCCATCTATGTGAAGATAAGTCAAAGGTCCTGTTTGACCATGTCTGGCTTCACTTGGAAGCATGAATGAGATGTTTCCTCTAAGTCGAGCCTCCTCTTTGTAGACTGGACGCTGGTTTAAGTCCATCTCGTGGGGTCTCCATGGCCTCTCTGAACAAGAGGACAGGTGACTCACCACATTCACAGGATATTTTGAGAGATGTTCCATAGTGCCCTGGAACTTGGCTGACCTTGGAGGGCAAGTGGCAAAAACTGTCCTTTAAGTCCCTTTGGCCACATTAGTATAGGCTTTAAAGTATGGCTGTTAAACACCCAAAAAGGTTAGTTCCACCAGTCTGATACTTTTAATTACTGTGTCATGTTGATAAATCTTGGACAAACACCAGTGGATCTCAGATAAACCTTACCTAGACATATATTTATTGATGTGCTATGTTTTATTTTTCACTAGGTAGTTGGAGTAATTTGTTCCCTCTGGTTTTTAAAACTAGCTAGGCATTATTTACTTTTCCATTGTCTCACCCATCCATCATGGTTTTCCCTCTTAAGGTGCCCCCATTTCCCCTCTTTCTCCCTTAATAATAACATTATCCTATGGTCCTACCTCTCTTGAGCTCCTTCTTTCCCTTTATCCCTTAGGTTCCTTGTATAC